ATTAACAATTTAGTTTAAAAAATTTCCATTTTGTCGATTTTTTGTTTACTATTAAAAGCGTAAAAACGTATTGAGGTAAAATTACAAAACTTGGTCTTTTAAAAAATAAAAAAGCTTTAAAATGCTGATTGCTAAAAGTTGTAAAATTAATTTGTTGCTTCGAAAACTCTAAAAATCATTAACTATTTTTTAATAATTATAAAAAATCAACCTAGACATTTGCTATTACGCTCAAAGTTGTAAATTGTGCTTCTTAGCAACCTCTCAAAATTTCAGATTATTGTATCAATTAGTTTTATAGTTATTCTATTTGTTTATCCCATAAACCTTTTTTTGTGACTATTTCACTAGACTGTTTTTAACTGATAAAACGTAATAGCAACGCCACGATTCCTACTGACAAAACGTCTTCCTGTCCGTGATTTCCCAGGAACAAAATTATGACAGATCCGTCACGAAGGTGTCTGGTAATTTTCAGTCAAACCGGTCCTGTTTGGTCACAGAACTATCAACTATCTGACAGCTGGCAAACTGTTCGTCGCCTGATGAATGTGAATGCCGGCGCCATATTTCTATTAAATAATATTTTGTATGACGGATTGTTCGGTTCGGCACCAGGACTGTGACAAGACGTGACTGATGTGTCTGAATCGACCTTAAACATGCAGTGGTTCACAAGCTCTATTTGGACCTAATTTTCGAAGTTCCTACAGGTGAGAAATTTTAAGCTTGAACGATGTACTACCATAATGGAACCAACAAAAATTGTCAAGGATTATGCCTTTGACAAGAAAAAAGGCAATGGCGAAGACTATAAAGAGTCAATGCGGAATACTACAGCAAAAATGGTACAAGAAAAATATTTACGGAGTACGGCATAAAAATCGAACCTTTCACAGATATATCTCTCAAATGTGCAAAACTGGCCAGAGATACCAAGCGGAGACAACTTCAACGTGTTTAAGAAAAAAGAAAACTCAGTTACAAAGCATTATACACCGAAAGCCTATTAAAAATCATCCAAAGCTACGACGAGGAAACCCCCGATGGAGCACAAAAAGTTTTTCACCTTTGCTCATTTCAACTTGCTTGGAGAGGCAATGAGGCCGTAAACTGCAAGGTTCACTTTTTCAGTAAGAATTTGATGTGTTATCGGACAATTTACGGGCCGAATTGAATACATGAACATGTTTTCCAAAGTCAAGGTGGTTCGAAAAGTTTGGCAAGCAACAAATGGCTGGTAAGAAATTCATCAAACGAAAATGTATGCCCAGTTGGATTATTTTTTAAATTATGGAAAAAAGGGAAAAGTATTTTATCAGACAGACTCTTTGTTACAGTTCACCCCAACTGGAAGAATGTATCTTGGTTCAAAAACTGTCCACTTGCAATTAACACCGTATCAAAGTGGACAAAAATTTCAGCTGAAAAAATTAGAATAGACACAAAAAATCATAAAATAACAAACCATTCTCATCAATCTTCAGCGGTGTCAGCCTTATTTAAGCAAGATGTTTCTAAATAGGAATTAAATTAACGGGTCACTCAAATACAAGCTCTCTAAAACCATATCTGCAGCTGAATTCTAGTCACCACCAGAAGTTGATCAAAAATCTCAGAACAGCAAATGAAAACTAGGCCTTTGAGTTGTAGAATTATTATAGCGTCATTATTTTCTGACTAATATTATTGCAAAAAAAGGTCACTGGTATAAACTTGTATTTTGCAATTGTTGAAGCTTGTTGTATTTTTCTTCTCTGTAAATATATCCTAGGTAACTCGTTTTTCTGATTTTTACAATATTTAGGAGTTGTCGCGTGACCACGTTGTCGGCACGTGCTCTATTCAAGAGATCTTCAGCATACTTCGAAAAACCCACATTTAAAATTCGTCTTATACTTGTGATTCCGAGAGTCCATGTTTTTACTCCATAGAGCAATATGGAATAAATGAATGTTTTTACAAATTAGTATCAAACATTCAACGATAAGGTGGAGTTTATTAGGAATTTTTCCATTTTTTAAAAAGCGGACCTAGCATACTCTATACGAGAAGGTATTTCAACTTCGTAGTCAAGATCGTTTGTTATCCAGCCACCAAAATACTGGAATTTTTGTACGGGTTCTATGTGTTTGTTGTAGATACGAATATTATTGTCTGCATTTGGTGCACGTGTAACGGCTATTACTTTTGTTTTATTTGTGTTTATATTTAGTAGCAAGCTATCTCCCTCTCTGGTGTTGTCTGGGTATCTTAAGTTGTTTACATATTCTCCGTTGGTTTTTGTTCCTTCTTCAATATTTTCGGGGGCATTTTAGAAGATCTTTTCTGAATATATATTAAACAATATTAAAGAAATTACACATCCCTTGCGAACTTCTCTTTTTATTGACGTTTCTGCTGTCATACGATTGTCTATTTTAATCGACGCCATTTGATCCCAATATAGGTTTTTAATAATGGCCTCCGTGTTATGGTCTATACTATGTTGTGTTATGGTTTTTATGAGTTCTGTGTGTTTTACTCGAGCAAACGCTTTTTCGTTGTCGATAAGCAGAGAAACACGTCTTTTCAACAAAGTAATTTTACAATTTTTAGCAATCGCTATTCAAAGATTTTTTTTATATTTTAAATGATAAAGTTGTGTAATTTTCAAAAATATTAAGCTTTTTAGTGACTAGCCAAATATCGAAAATATGGCGTTTTTTACACTACATTGGAAATATTTAAAAACAGAGGACAAACTATCTGCAAGAACATATAGATTTTCTTTATATAGGCTATATGCTATATAATAACTAAAAAAAATGCAGATACCTGGATTGGTCACAGTCCCGTTTTAAGGTTTTTTATTTCCCTAGAATAATACTCGAACCTTAAAAGGTTATATCTATGCTTCAAAACTGAAAATAGAGAAAGTCAAATAGAGCCAAATTGAACGTGGTGATTGTATTATTTTTCTAATAGAAATGTTTTGCTTTTCGTTCTTGACAATATATATCAATATTTCGAATCCTTAGTTGGTCAATATTGTTTTGATTTACAAACTAGTCAATTTATAAATATTGTGAGATATTTAAGGAGATACTTAATTGGAGATTTACTTGGATATCTCACAATTTGCCAAATTACTGAAACATGTAGACGAATATAATTTCTTTCAAAAAATATTTAAATCGATGTACTAAAACCTAATAAGAGCTTTATGATTTTAAAAAACAATTGTAATTATTATTTAGTTGATCAGTTTTTTGCTAGTTTTCTCTAACTGGCAATATTAAGAATTTTCAGACCTTGTTACAATTTTTTTATGTACCTAAGTTTGAGTATTCCCTAATGGTGTTTGCCTTTCTTAGATATTTCACTCCACTTCCATGCATCCGTTCTTCATGACTCATCCAACGTTAATGGTGGTCATAGCTCAGCGGTCATGTTACTGGCTTAACCAGCTGGAGCCTTGGTTCAATTATTGGCACTGACACTGACACCAAGAAATTTTTTAATTCCTTATTTAACTGAATATCCACCGTGCTTTGGACGGTACGTAAAGTCTTCGGTGTTGTCTACGTAAATGGTAAGTCATAGAGCGCTTGCGTGACTTGAAAATTGTGTCACTATACCAAAGCCAGAAAGTTACACGAGATTTGCCTGAGGATTTTTTTTTTAAATAGCCAGTAGTTTCCAATTTAATTAGCATTTTCTCCAATTCTGTACTGTTTGATAAATTCTTTAAACTATGAAAAACCAATCATTACAATGATTAAAGATTCTACAAAAAAGATCTGCAGCGTTTTATAGAACGGGACTAAAATTAAATAAATCAATCAATTTAGCGTTGCAGATACCTGGATTGGTCACAGTCCCGTTTAAGGTTTTTTGTTTTATTTCCCTAGAATAATACGCGAACCTTAAAAGGTTATATCTATGCATCAAAACTTAAAATAGATAAAGTAAAACAGAGCCAAATTTGACGTGGTGATTGTATTATTTTTCTAATAGAAATGTTTTGCTTTTCCTTCCTGACAATATATATCAATATTTAGAATCCTTAGTTGGTCAATATTGTTTTGATTTACAAACTAGTCAATCTATAAATATTGTGAGATATTTAAGGAGATACTTAATTGGAGATTTACTTGGATATCTCACAATTTGCCAAATTACTGAAACATGTAGACGAATATAATTTCTTTCAAAAAATATTTAAATCGATGTACTAAAACCTAATAAGAGCTTTATGATTTTAAAAAACAACTGTAATTATTATTTAGTTCATCAGTTTCTTGCTATGTTTTTCTAACTGGCAATATTAAGAATTTTCAGACCTTCTTACAATTGTTTTATGTACGTAAGTTTGAGTATTTCCTACTGGTGTTTATCTTTCTTAGATATTTCACTCCACTTCCATGCATCCGTTCTACATGATTTATCCAACGTTAATGGTGGTCACAGCTCAGCGCTCATGTTACTGGCTTAACCAGCTGGAGCCTGGGTTCAATTATTGGCACTGACACTGACATCAAGAAGTTTTTTAATTTTTTATTTAACTGAATATCCACCGTGCTTTGGACGGTACGTAAAGTCTTCGGTGTTGTCTACGTAAATGGTAGGTCATATTAAGGGCGCTTGCGTGACTTGAAAATTGTGTCACTATACCAAAGCCAGAAAGTTACACGAGATTTGCCTGAGGATTTTTCTTTTAAAAATAAACAGTATTTTCCAATTTAATTAGCGTTCTCTCCAATTCTGTACTGTTTGATAAATTCTTTAAACCATGAAAAACCAATCATTACAATGATTAAAGATTCTACAAAAAAGGTCTGCAGCGTTTTATAGAACGGGACTAAAATTAAATAAATCAATCAATTTAGTGTCCAAAATCGATTTAAATATTTTCTTAATAGATTCATTTCTCGATTCACATAAATTTTGATTTACAAATAAAATCTATTTACAAAATAAGCTATCATTATTCTCTGGCTCTCTTGGCCAGAGCTTTT